TTATCCTCCAAGAAATATGGACAACAGGTGCTGGGTGGGATGAAGTTATCAACCCCCAATTAGAAAGTATGGCAGTGGTATCATGAAATAGAACTTCTTAGATCGATTCGGGTACCAAGATGCATTCAAGTGGCTTCTGCTATAGAAAATACAAAGCTGCACGTTTTCGCAGATGCTTCACAAGAAGCATATGGGGCTGTTGTATATGCAGTCACTATGGACAAAGGTGAGGTGGTCTCAAGTAATCATGTAAAGAGTCATGTGGCACCTCTTAAAGCAGACAGTATTCCAAGAATTGAGTTGCTTGCAGCTGTCATTGGAGTAAAACTTCTCAATATTGTTGTAAAGGCCTTGGCAATAACACCTCAGTCTGCGACACTTTGGTCTGATAGCTTAAATGTGTTGTGGTGGGTGAATAGTCTGAGTAGAAGTTTCAAGTCATTTGTGGTAAATCGTGTTGGATACATCCATGAGAATACAAATCCTAGTCAGTGGAGGTATGTCCCCTCACAACTGAACACTGCAGATATTGTCAGCAGAGGTGCTCAAGTTCAAACATTGGAGAACAGGAAATGGTTAAACAGTCCTGAATTCCTGACTTCAACAGAAAATGATTGGCCAAAACAAGTCGTTGACTTCAGTAACTGTGATAAACTTGAACGACGAATTCATCAGATGGCAGTTACAATGTTGTGTGAAACAGATGAAGAAACACCATGGCATTTAGAACCTTCTAGGTTTTCAAACTGGAAACGACTTTGCAGAGTTCTTGCATGGATTTTCAGATTCTTCAACAACTCTCGTATACCAACCTGTATCCGTAAAAAAGGTGATCTGGATCTTGAAGAAATTGAAGATGCTGAAATGAAACTGTTGACCAAAACACAAGGTAGAGAAAACGTCGACAAAAGCGATACCTTTGTCTCTTTACGTGTCTCTCTACACGAGCTGTACACTTAGAAATGGCGTATGGACTTGACACAGAATCCTATTTGAACGCCTTTTTTAGAATGGCACATAGACATGGAATGCCAAAGGAAATAATTTCAGACAATGGCACAAATTTTGTTGGAGCTGCAAAGGAGTTGAAGGTTCTTGTGTCAGAACTGGACTCAGACGCTGTAAAAACCTCACTTACAAACAAAGGAATTATTTGGTGGTGTCTTTGAGTCCATGATCTTTGCAATATTGAGCGCTGGAGATGTTACTGATGAGGAGTTAATGACTGCCTTGACAGGTGCAGAAGCTCTTGTTAACTCTCGACCATTGACTTACCAGAGTGCCCATCCACAAGATGAGACACCTTTGACACCAAACCATTTCCTTCATGGACAGATGGGAGGAGAATTCGCTCCAGAAATTGATTCATCGTTCACTCCAAGGAGGAGATGGAGACGAGTCCAAGAGCTTGTGAGACATGTATGGAGACGTTGGATGAGAGAATGGTTGCCAACTCTCAATGTCAGGAAAAAATGGTTCACTCCAACCAAAGACTTTAGAGTTGATGACGTTGTGAATTGTGGTGTCTCCGAATACACCTTGTGGTTGTTGGCAGGATAGTGAAGATATTTCCTGGACAGGATGGTCACGTTAGAGTTGTGGAGGTTCAAGTTGGACAATCAAAACTTACGAGACCTGTGACAAAGATTTGTCCTTTAGAATGGAACAGTGATACAGAGAATTAATGTTCCAGTACAGTGAGGCTGCAAAAGTAGAAGATTTAGCATATCAGATCAGTATTTCTTGTACATAGTGAAAATAGTGGAATTTTGATCGGGATTGTTAGTTTGTTGGTTTGTTAGTTCGTCTTCGTGTTAAAATGTATTGGTATTAGTTGATAGACATGGGTCTATCATCAAGAGGGGGTATGTTGTGGAGAAAAAATAATAAAAATAAAACAAACATTGTTTCGGTTCATGTAACATGAACATTTAGAATAAACGCCACATGCTTCACGGAAATCAGATCGTGGCATTCGTTTCGTATGCAGAAAATGAATGCTGACACGTGATGCATTGCAATCGTCAATGCAGGCTTTTCGTTGGAGCAAGACACACTTTACGGTCGTTGACCAATATTCGTGGTCTTGAAAGGAACTAGTTGTCGTTGGACCAATATTCGTGGTCTTGGTATAAACTAGATGGGACAATATTCGTGGCCCTTAGAAACGTAAAGTGTGTACTTGCTCCTATAGTCAGTTATTCATTCCTGCATTCGTGGTCATGGACCTTGCATAGTTTCTTTATTTAATCATTAAGAAGAGAGTCACGTTTAGTTCCCCACATGTCACATAAAGAGAATCACGTTTAGTTCCCCATTAAGTCATAGGAAGAGAATCATGTTTAGTTCCCCATTAATCGTATAATTTCCAGTGGAGTAGAAAAGACGAAAAGTAGACACATGAACGTCGCCTTCCACTGTGCAACAAACATTGGTAGCAGAGCGTGGTTACAAAATTCTGTCACAAAATCCACCTGACAAATTATTAAATACCATGTCATTCATGAGCACTCGCGAGTTCTACGTCTGTTGTCTGACGACTGGAGCTGTTTTCAGTTCGCACCCTATCGGATCATTCCTCGCCACTCGGTATCTTGTAGATTACGGAATGGGATGAGTGTGCTAAATGGCATCGGGATCATTCGTAAGTGTCCGTAGACTAAAGTCACGTCGTAGGCATGACTAGGTAAATTTGCACTTTGTTTCACAGTGTGGACGTGGTCGGTTAGCTGTTGGGCTAACAATCCGAAGGTCGCGATTTCGCATCCGACGGATTCTCACAAAAACTGGTTGCTTGTCTTTGAGACATGTGACCTACGGCAGAGACCGTCCTCACGAGAAGTTGTGGTACTGTATTCTAAAGGTGCTCCCAATCATTGTATTAAAGTTACAGCTTCAAAATGGTCAAATGGTTTCTGAGGAGATTATGTTTACAGTGTTAGGAGATTATGTTAACAGTGTGAGGAGATGATGTTTACAGTGTGAGGAGATTATGTTTTCAGCGTGAGGAGATTATGTTTATGCTCTGAGAAATACATTTGAATGAATTTCGGAAGATGGTCAAAGTACAAACGTCAAATAAAGATCAAAATTTAAAATATCACAAACATGGAAGATATGTGTTTAACCCTACTAGTAACTATCCACAGACCAAATTTCATGACATTTTGAACAAGAAATGTCTGACTTATGGCCATAAATGGGTTTTTCAACAAGGCTGCTGTGGTGGCCATATTGAAATTGGATTTGAACACCTTAAAACAAATTGGGGTGTCACCAGTGGTGTGAAGTGTCAGATTCATTGATGCAATAGTTTCTGAAGAGAACATGTTTAAGACTGACAGTGGACAAACAGGCTACAACATAAGCTAGCTAACCAGGTAACAACTTTCATTCAACACATGAATATTACAGGAACACAAAAAGTGATGTTTGAGAACTTTTAAATAAAACCTGACAACAAGATGTGCAGAATGAAGTGTAACATAGACTGGTTGTTTTAAAAGGGTAAGATGGCAGCAGCAAGTAAGATTTACAGCTACTGGATGGGCAATGGCATGTAAAGGTCAAATAGGAAATGAAGGACACTGTTCTCTGGAAATAAACTTAATCTTTTTCGCATTCATCTTGAACATGTCTACACTAACATGAACTCTGTTCCCAGTGCCAAGAACTGTCGGAAATATACACTGACAGACATTGACTAAGGTGTCATGCTGTTAGCCCTAGCCAGAACATGTACAAGTGTATGACACACATTGACCAAGGTGTCATGCTGTTAGCCCTAGCCAGAACATGTACAAGTGTATGACACACATTGACCAAGGTGTCATGCTGTTAGCCCTAGCCAGAACATGTACAAGTGTATGACACACATTGACCAAGGTGTCATGTGGTTAGCCCTAGCCAGAACATGTACAAGTGTATGACACACATTGACCAAGGTGTCATACCATTAGCCCTAGCCAGAACATGTACAAGTGTATGACACATTGACCAAAGTGTCATGCTGTTAGCCCTAGCCAGAACATGTACAAGTGTATGACACACATTGACCAAGGTGTCATGCTGTTAGCCCTAGCCAGAACATGTACAAGTGTATGACACACATTGACCAAGGTGTCATGCTGTTAGCCCTAGCCAGAACATGTACAAGTGTATGACACACATTGACCAAGGTGTCATGCTGTTAGCCCTAGCCAGAACATGTACAAGTGTATGACACACATTGACCAAGGTGTCATGCTGTTAGCCCTAGCCAGAACATGTACAAGTGTATGACACACATTGACCAAGGTGTCATGCTGTTAGCCCTAGCCAGAACATGTACAAGTGTATGACACTCATTGACCAAGGTGTCATGCTGTTAGCCCTAGCCAGAACATGTACAAGTGTATGACACACATTGACCAAGGTGTCATGCCATTAGCCCTAGCCAGAACATGACATATGGCCAATGTGCCATGGTAATAGTTTGTTTGTGTTTTGTATAAATGAACACATGTGGCTTTGCATATGAATATTTACAGTTACATAACACTGGTAGGCTGATATTTTCTTTCAATGTGATGAGCCTTAACAACGTAAAGATGGTCTCAAACAAGTTAATACATAATTTGAAATGAATATAATGTTTTTATTATTAAGGACTCACCCTCATGTCTTTTAATATAAAAAAACCACATCAACATTTGTGAAAACCTGGTGAAACCATGGACTTGGACTTAAGTATATACTCCAAAGTCCAGCCACTGTTAACACAAGCTGTGACCCCAGCCAACTAATGGTCACAACTGCAAGGTCTATGGAAGAATTGTACTGGATAAACAGAAGATTCACTCATGACTACTTTGTATCAAGATTCTAGATGACAAGACATTGGGGCCTGTGTGTCGGGCTAGTCATACAGGCCATTACAAACATTACACAGAAATCTGATCTGATATATGAACCATATAATGATATCTATACACAGTTTGCATGAATCAGGCAGTACTTACCTCACTGTTGTCATTCTCATCTATGAACTTTATTGCACTTAGGTCTTCCTTCACATTACGCAACAATATCCATGATTTACTCTGCTCCACATGTTGGTTGACACCAGCAACAATAGTATCCATAGTCATATCTCTATCATTGTCAGTACTCTCAGCAATTGTCTGTATGCTAGTCTTGCTGGTAACTTGGTCAAGGTCATCATCACTGATTTCTAGATCAGACAGTTTAGTATCAGATGCTGTACTAACATGGTCAATATCATCTAGCATATCCATGAAGGCTTTTTCAATATCAGACCGATTCTCAAAACTTTTCAAAGGATTGCATTCTACCTGACCAGTTTTCTTAAACCAGCTTCGAGTTTGGGGAAGAACATCACTATGGGACCGACTCAGACCTTTTGATTTAGGCTTCAGGTCAACCTTAAACACATACTTGTCTGTACATTTGTCTGATTTCACCACAAAACACTCAGTGTTGTTTGAGTCACCGGTCCGTTTGGCACATTGATCTGTAGAGTCACTGAACTTGTGATCTCTGCTCGAATCCTTCTGATTGGAAGTGGCTGATGCTGTAGTTGGCAAGAGCGTAGTGCTGCTGTTGCTGCTGACTGTTGGAGTCTCTGGTGTGTGGTCTTTAGGCACTAGAGAACTACTTTCAGTTACTATGGTCTTCACAGACACAGATGTAACAGGGGAAACAGCAGACAGGTTCAACTCAACATTACCTTTGTGTTTACTGGGTACAGCATTAGGGCTCTCTTTACCCTGGGAGAGCCTATCAAACACAGTTCTTTTCTCACTGTCGGTCGTTTTCTTCACTGCAAAGCCTCCAGCCTTGAACTTGAGTTTGTCAACATCTGGCAGGACTCTTTTCTTAGAATCTATTCCCTTGCTGACACGAACTTTGTCCTTTGCATCTGAACCTCTTGTTGCCCCAGAGTTAAGTTTCACAGTCAAATTTGATTTCAATGTAGATTCCCTTCTACTGTCAATGATTAGATTATAGTTATCAGTTTTCAATGGTTGACTTTTGCCTTTCTTTGAAACAAAAGGTTCTGACTGTCCAGAGCTTGAAGGTGTCAACAATTTGCCTTTGCCCGTTAAAACAACCTTCCTGGTGTTTGCTGGCACATCTGCTGTTTTACTAAGGTTACCTTTCCTGTCCTTAACATGTGGTGGGGAGGGTCCAGGTTTGGAGCTAGCTGTATTTCTCTTGTCAGTATTCCCTCCACTGTCTTTGCTTTTCTGTGACCCTCGGGTTATTGATTGACTTTGTCCACCTTGACCTTTCTCTCGACTACTAAGCCTAGCTTTAATCTTGGAGAGAAAGTCTTCTTCCTCCACCCCAGCTCCAGCTCCTGCCTCTGCCTTCTTGGGCACACTTGTAGAAGAGGATGTCCCTGCCTTGTCAGCCCTGTCTGTGCAAGGTCCCACTTTGTTTCCTGCCCTACCGCCCTCACTAGTTGTCACCGTTTGTTTCAGCTGTTCAGTAGAGAATTGGATCTCAACTGTTGGGTAGTTTAATCTGACTATGGAGTCAGAATCAGTCTGTCTCAGGTCAAAGTGTTTCAGTGTGCTGTCCTCTCTCTTATCCAGGCCAGTATTGACCTTGGTGCTGGTTCCATCCTCTGAGAGTCTTCTGGAGTCTGTCTGGCTCACAAACTGAGGTCTGTGCAGTGTGATGTCCTCTGACTGGCGCCGCAGGCTGCTCTCGGCCTTCGACAACCTATTTCCAGCAGACAACTTGACTTTCTCTGTTATAAAGAAATAAATAGGATCACCTGGCTATTAGTACGGACTGGTATAAAGGTAATTGATTATAATAGATTTAGACTATTGTACATACAAAAGTAACTATCAATATCTTATTGCTTCAACTCAGTTTCTTTACCTTTGCTTAATTTACTGAATAACAACATCCACATTTCAAAAACTGCAAATAAGAATAATGCAAATAAGTAGCATGTAAGTTCCCTGTCGGTGAAGTTTTGTTTGTTTCATTGTTGTTTAACGCAATATTCCAGCTACATGACGGCAGTCTGTAAGAAATCGTGTCTGGACCAGACAATCCAGTGATTGAAAACATGAGCATCGATCTACGCAATTGGAATACGATGACATGCATCAATAAAGTCAGCGAGCCTGACCACCCGATCCCGTTAGTCGCCTCTTACGACAAGCAGAGTCACCTTTTATGGCAAGCATGGGCTGCTGAAGACCTATTCCAACCCGGATCTTCACGGTCTTCAGTGAAGTCCTAACTACATATCGAGGAAGATATGATCTGGTCATGGCTAAGCTGGGATAAGTGTGGTGTCGTTCTCTTTCACCTCGTCTGAGTGTTCAGAGTTGATCATGTATATGATCATCTCAAAGAGACAAATGTTTACAAAGAAGATTAGATTGGTAAAACTAAAAAACCTGAATTGAAGCTAATTTAGCAGATCAAACATGATCGCATTGTCTTAATAGTCTAATTTGTTGTATTTTGAATATATGCATGAACACCTAATGCAAATGATTGGTTTCAACCGTATGAATTTACATCGCAGCTGATTTACACCTGCATCTGATTCTCCACCAGGGAGGTCTGATGACTCACCCGGTCTTACCAGGGGTTTTAATGCCATCTACAGTATTGTGTACAGCTACAAGTGCATAGTGCCACCTGTGTTAGCAATAGTTAAACCCATGTTCTAAACATTAATAAAGACATCTACAAGCAAGATTACATGTGTCAATCCAAGGTTATTCTACTGGGAAACTAATATCTTATCCCTGACACCAGCAGGCCACTCTGTGTTAACAGAGGCTCCATGTCTTAATGCTAGTGCCCAGTCAAGCACTAAACCTTTTTCTATTTAAATATGAAATTGTCTTTAGGTATAAAATGCGATAGACACAAATGAACAATTAGATTTCTGTCAACAAAACTAAAATAGTTGATCTGCTTGTGTGGCTGTCTACTTGTGAGGGCAATCCCGATTGTCTTTCTGGGATTATAGAGCTACACGGATGAATGGATAGATTCCCAATCCTCATGCATGGGTGAGCACACAGTATGCTACATACAGTGTACAGGCTGAATGGGGGTGGTGGGATGTAGCTGGATGAGAGTTGGTGTGGGGCCATTTGATGTGAAAGCTGAATGAGGGTGGGAGTAGGGGGTGTTTGAGGATAGTGATGGGGGCTGGGGGTGATGGGGGGTGGGGTGTGCTGTATTGGATAAGCAGAGGCCAAGCACGATCCCCAAGTGTGGAGATGTCACACTATGCACTGCATGTACATACTGGTCAAATCTGCTTGTCTTGTACATTTCTATCACAGTCTGTGAGAACATTGGATTCTTAATACTTCACTCCCATAAAACATTAGCCAGATATATATGAGCTATACATGGCTTTGTTTGTACTGACATGAGATTACAGGTATGTCGAGCAGCACACACAGCAAGGCAGGACATTGGGATTCCCAAGGAGGCAGGCACATTTGTGTTGCTCTTTGATACATCGTCATAATGGGATATCAAAGTCTCATGTTTTCAGCGGGTCTGTTTGTAGCCAGATAGCCTTCTGGCCTTGTCACTGTGGGGGGTTTACCCACATTAGTCACATACCTCCACAGTACAGCCCAGCAGACCATTGCCCTCCCAATTCTCCATGAGTGTAAGGGTGGAGTATTAGTAGGAGAGAAAGGGAGGGTGGTGTACTGGCCCATGTGTGGGAGGGAGGGAGGGTGGTGTACTGGCCCATGTGTGGGAGGGAGGGAGGGAGGATGGTGTACTGGCCCATGTGTGGGAGGGAGGGAGGGAGGGTGGTGTACTGGCCCATGTGTGGGAGGGAGGGAGGGAGGGTGGTGTACTGGCCCATGTGTGGGAGGGAGGGAGTTAGGGTGGTGTACTGGCCCATGTGTGGGAGGGAGGGAGGGAGGGTGGTGTACTGGCCCATGTGTGGGAGGGAGGGAAGGTGGTGTACTGGCCCATGTGTGGGAGGGAGGGAGGGAGGGTGGTGTACTGGCCCATGTGTGGGAGGGAGGGAGGGAGGGTGGTGTACTGGCCCATGTGTGGGAGGGAGGGAGTGTGGTGTACTGGCCCATGTTTGGGAGGTAGGAAGGGTGGTGTACTGGCCCATGTGTGGGAGGGAGGGAGAGTGTTGTACTGGCCCATGTGTGGGAGGGAGGGAGGGTGATGTACTCTGGCCCATGTGTGGGAGGGAGGTAGGAAGGGTGGTGTACTGGCCCATGTGTGGGAGGGAGGGAGAGTGTTGTACTGGCCCATGTGTGGGAGGGAGGGAGGGTGTTGTACTGGCCCATGTGTGGGAGGTAGGGAGGGTGGTGTACTGGCCCATGTGTGGGAGGGAGGGAGGGTGATGTACTCTGGCCCATGTGTGAGAGGGAGGGAGGGTGGTGTACTGGCCCATGTGTGGGAGGGAGGGAGGGAGGGTGGTGTACTGGCCCATGTGTGGGAGGGAGGGAGGGAGGGTGGTGTACTGGCCCATGTGTGGAAGGGAGGGAGGCAGGTGTACTGGCCCATGTGTGGAAGGGAGGGAGGGTGTTGTACTGGCCCATGTGTGAGAGGGAGGGAGGGTGTTGTACTGGCCCATGTGTGGGAGGTAGGGAGGGTGGTGTACTGGCCCATGTGTGGGAGGGAGGGAGGGTGATGTACTCTGGCCCATGTGTGAGAGGAAGGGAGGGTGGTGTACTGGCCCATGTGTGGGAGGGAGGGAGGGAGGGTGGTGTACTGGCCCATGTGTGGGAGGGAGGGAGGGAGGGTGGTGTACTGGCCCATGTGTGGAAGGGAGGGAGGGTGATGTACTCTGGCCCATGTGTGGGAGGGAGGGAGGGAGGGTGGTGTACTGGCCCATGTGTGGGAGGGAGGGAGTGTGGTGTACTGGCCCATGTTTGGGAGGTAGGAAGGGTGGTGTACTGGCCCATGTGTGGGAGGGAGGGAGAGTGTTGTACTGGCCCATGTGTGGGAGGGAGGGAGGGTGTTGTACTGGCCCATGTGTGGGAGGTAGGGAGGGTGGTGTACTGGCCCATGTGTGGGAGGGAGGGAGGGTGATGTACTCTGGCCCATGTGTGAGAGGGAGGGAGGGTGGTGTACTCGCCCATGTGTGGGAGGGAGGGAGGGTGGTGTACTGGCCCATGTGTGGGAGGGAGGGAGGGAGGGTGGTGTACTGGCCCATGTGTGGAAGGGAGGGAGGGAGGGTGGTGTACTGGCCCATGTGTGGAAGGGAGGGAGGCAGGTGTACTGGCCCATGTGTGGGAGGGAGGGAGGGAGGGTGGTGTACTGGCCCATGTGTGGGAGGGAGGGAGGGAGGGTGGTGTACTGGCCCATGTGTGGAAGGGAGGGAGGCAGGTGTACTGGCCCATGTGTGGGAGGGAGGGAGGGAGGGTGTTGTACTGGCCCATGTGTGGAAGGGAGGGAGGGTGTTGTACTGGCCAATGTGTGAGAGGGAGGGAGGGTGGTGTACTGGCCCATGTGTGGGAGGGAGGGAGGGAGGGTGGTGTACTGGCCCATGTGTGGGAGGGAGGGAGGGAGGGTGGTGTACTGGCCCATGTGTGGGAGGGAGGGAGGGAGGGTGGTGTACTGGCCCATGTGTGGAAGGGAGGGAGGCAGGTGTACTGGCCCATGTGTGGAAGGGAGGGAGGCAGGTGTACTGGCCCATGTGTGGAAGGGAGGGAGGGTGTTGTACTGGCCAATGTGTGAGAGGGAGGGAGGGTGGTGTACTCTGGCAAATGTGTGAGAGGGAGGGAGGGTGGAGTACTGGCCAATGTGTGGAAGGGAGGTGGTGTTCTCTGGCCTATGTGTGAGAGGGAGGGATGGTGATGTACTCTGGCCCATGTGTGAGAGGGAGGGAGGGTGGTGTACTCGCCCATGTGTGGGAGGGAGAAAGGGTGATGTACTCTGGCAAATGTGTGAGAGGGAGGGAGGGTGTTGTACTCTGGCCCATGTGTGGGAGGGAGAGTGTTGTACTCTTGCCCATGTGTGAGAGGGAGGAAGGGTGTTGTACTGGCCCATGTGTGGGAGGTAGGGAGGGTGGTGTACTGGCCCATGTGTGGGAGGGAGGGAGGGTGATGTACTCTGGCCCATGTGTGAGAGGGAGGGAGGGTGGTGTACTCGCCCATGTGTGGGAGGGAGGGAGGGTGGTGTACTGGCCCATGTGTGGGAGGGAGGGAGGGAGGGTGGTGTACTGGCCCATGTGTGGAAGGGAGGGAGGGAGGGTGGTGTACTGGCCCATGTGTGGAAGGGAGGGAGGCAGGTGTACTGGCCCATGTGTGGGAGGGAGGGAGGGAGGGTGGTGTACTGGCCCATGTGTGGGAGGGAGGGAGGGAGGGTGGTGTACTGGCCCATGTGTGGAAGGGAGGGAGGCAGGTGTACTGGCCCATGTGTGGGAGGGAGGGAGGGAGGGTGTTGTACTGGCCCATGTGTGGAAGGGAGGGAGGGTGTTGTACTGGCCAATGTGTGAGAGGGAGGGAGGGTGGTGTACTGGCCCATGTGTGGGAGGGAGGGAGGGAGGGTGGTGTACTGGCCCATGTGTGGGAGGGAGGGAGGGAGGGTGGTGTACTGGCCCATGTGTGGGAGGGAGGGAGGGAGGGTGGTGTACTGGCCCATGTGTGGAAGGGAGGGAGGCAGGTGTACTGGCCCATGTGTGGAAGGGAGGGAGGCAGGTGTACTGGCCCATGTGTGGAAGGGAGGGAGGGTGTTGTACTGGCCAATGTGTGAGAGGGAGGGAGGGTGGTGTACTCTGGCAAA